CCTAAAACAATTTTCTGTAATGTTGTCTGTGGTTTTTAAAGTATCCCTTTCGTTATTGTGTTTCAAATAAAAAAAAAAAGACAAAAAAAAAGGAAAAAAAAAAAGAATAATTTTGGTTAAAAAAAAAGGAAAAAAAAAAACCCAACTAAAAAAAAAAAAAAAAATCGTGTCTTTCCCATCGTATCTCTTCAAACCACGAGGATCCAAGCAATCGGTGAGTACATGCTGCTTTATGAAAAAAAAAAATGAACAAAAAGAAAGAAAGAAAAGTAAACAACAACAACAACAAACAAACAAGTTGGTCCACCTGTGAACGGATGCAGGGGCATCATCAGCAATCACCACAGGAACATCACTTCCGACCTTTGTACGTCTAAACGAAGAAGGAAAAACATAACTCAGCTTGTTAATGACGTGACATTAAATCGAAAAGAAAGTGGGAATGACGCGATGACAAGCGAGAGGCCTGAAGAGAAAAAATCATGTGTCCTTGTCCTGAGTACTAGCTCACTTTTTTGTCCACTGTTCGTACGTCAAGGCTCACAATATACCTTTTTTTGCGCTTCACCATTCCTTACTTTTCCATTACCAGAGTTGCTCCCTTTCTTCAAGGGAACGGGCGACCAGAGAAATGATCAACCACTTTTTCTCCTCCCTCAATTGCTACTAGCCAAATTAATTAACACGAAGAGAAAACTCTCCCCAGTTCTCAGTTCCCAGTAGCTTGCGATCGATCGCTTAAATCTATGGAAACTGGTTCCGGATCTCGCTCCGCGCTCGTCTTCAGTACCCCGCTCGGCCATGGAAAGCCTTTGGCGGGGGCGGGAGAAACGAATGACTGACTCCCATGCCCTACCTGACTTCTGCACGATCTTTGTATTTTCCAGTGACATCGACGGCTGGCTCGGTGTATGAGGATTCCTGAAAAAATAAATAAAAGCGTCATTTAACGATTCCAAACTTTATTTTTTTTTATTTTTGGATTTAGTTGACGTAGTATCATTAGTTGCTGTTGGAAGTTTTTGAAACGAGATCAAGAAGGTGAAATATACCAGAATAAGCAACTTGGCTCTATGTTAGGATTGACCAACAATAGAGACAGTAAGAAATCTCCGACGACAAATTTTAAAACCAGTTCCTGGGCTGGAAGTTTCTCTGAACTGATGAAAGTGTTGATGCTGTCTATCAAGCGAGGTGCTACTCAAAACGCTGTGTAAGTTAAGTTACAATGTTTGATTAAAAACGTACATAAGTGACACTTATATATGTCATAATTACACCTCATTTTCCGAACGTCAACAGTGGTACTAACGCCACTTACCTCTAAAGCATACGCCTTTTTTATTCTTTTAAGTACTGACTTTCGCTGTTCTTGTATTGTTAACGAGTTGACTGGTTTACGTCCCTCCACAACCTTTGTTATGCACACTGCCAATTAAATTGTACACTGATCAACTGACTAGATTATGGGGATTGGGGAAAGAGGAGGGGTGAGAAAGCGAGAAGGTACAATATTGGTGGGCCTACTCCCTAGTGATAATTAATTGAGACACTATTTTTTGTCTGGGGAGGGTGTCTCAGCACATGTGAAGGTTTATGGCTTCCCTTTTTTTTCCCCCACCCTACCCAAATAGGGAGCTACGCAACCGCGACGGCGAAGTTAGTGTAAACGTCACTGAATGAATTCGCGCTGTTGTAAACTTCTTTGAATTAATCCATTTCGTTTGATTTTCTCAAATGTAGGGCGCATTTTTCTTGTGCAAAATCCGTAGTGTCCGTATCCAAAACATTCGCTGGCGTTTTAACAGCTACGACCAAAATTGTAGCCTCGTCTGCGGTCTAACGCCGCCATCCGTCACAACTTCTGCCTCAGTGATTTTTTTCTTTTCAGGCGACATAGATCCTAGAAACGCGCACCAATATAAGGAATGAAAATACAGGAAAACCATTGTAAAGATGGATATTTCTTGCTCTGTAATCACATAAACGGAAAAGATACTATCAACTCAAAACAGTTCCAAGTAGTGTATTTTCAATATTTCAGTTCACGGCCATTCAATGACACACTACAAGCCCTTTGCGGCAAAGAAAGACAGCCTTGCCACATAATTACACAAAGCTTTCAGACCTTCATTATAAAGCTAAGAACTACTTTACAGCAAACAGAGAATTTCATTATCTCAGTCAGCTTTGTATTCTACAACCTGCATAAACTATTCATGGCCAAACAGGTGAAATTCACTACTATAGGACTGCTAGCAGCCAAACTGACATAATTAACCACGAAGATAAGTATAATTGATTTGTATGCTCCTCCGTAATATATAAAACTGTTTTCATTACTGGGTTTCGACCAAAAAATAAATAAGGCTAGGATGTTAAAATTCAAGTGTCAGTAGTCTCGCTGAGTTAATTGAGATTAGTTTCCCGCGGACAAAGCTTGACAACTACATCTATTTGCCAGTGCTTTCTCTAATACAAAAGCAACAGTTAGATTTATTGCTAAACCATTTCAATATGTTTCAAACTGTATGTTTTTTTCTTTAGCTTAAGGTTTCTCAATCCCTGTTCTANAAAATCCGTAGTGTCCGTATCCAAAACATTCGCTGGCGTTTTAACAGCTACGACCAAAATTGTAGCCTCGTCTGCGGTCTAACGCCGCCATCCGTCACAACTTCTGCCTCAGTGATTTTTTTCTTTTCAGGCGACATAGATCCTAGAAACGCGCACCAATATAAGGAATGAAAATACAGGAAAACCATTGTAAAGATGGATATTTCTTGCTCTGTAATCACATAAACGGAAAAGATACTATCAACTCAAAACAGTTCCAAGTAGTGTATTTTCAATATTTCAGTTCACGGCCATTCAATGACACACTACAAGCCCTTTGCGGCAAAGAAAGACAGCCTTGCCACATAATTACACAAAGCTTTCAGACCTTCATTATAAAGCTAAGAACTACTTTACAGCAAACAGAGAATTTCATTATCTCAGTCAGCTTTGTATTCTACAACCTGCATAAACTATTCATGGCCAAACAGGTGAAATTCACTACTATAGGACTGCTAGCAGCCAAACTGACATAATTAACCACGAAGATAAGTATAATTGATTTGTATGCTCCTCCGTAATATATAAAACTGTTTTCATTACTGGGTTTCGACCAAAAAATAAATAAGGCTAGGATGTTAAAATTCAAGTGTCAGTAGTCTCGCTGAGTTAATTGAGATTAGTTTCCCGCGGACAAAGCTTGACAACTACATCTATTTGCCAGTGCTTTCTCTAATACAAAAGCAACAGTTAGATTTATTGCTAAACCATTTCAATATGTTTCAAACTGTATGTTTTTTTCTTTAGCTTAAGGTTTCTCAATCCCTGTTCTATTGAAACACTAGTTTTGAATTACCACCTGCTCAGTGTTTACAGAAATTATAAATTATTCACAGCTTCTTGTCATTTCCACAAAAAAGGCTTCTGTATAATTTCGGAAAGCCATTGGCGATGCCTTTGTCTTGGCTCGCCCACTGTCCGGTAACCAAAGCAACATCCAAGCGTCTCCATAGCGACGTAGTGTTTAAATGCCACGGCCACTTAGAACATCCTCAATCCTTGCATTTAAAACAAGAGACTCGCTAATAGATTCTCGCTATGAATAACAATAATTTTGAGGAAAGAAAAGCTTTTACCTGGTTCGCCCGCCGTACGTGAAACTAACTACACATATACAACTGTTGCATCAACACATCGCGGATTTGAATTGTACACAATCTTCATTTTCATTGAGTGAACGTACAATACTCCAACAGGTAAAACTACGAGAATTATTGAAATATGTTTATAATGCACTTACTTGACTTTGTCAAGCAAGCACAATTACTCGGAACTAAAATGAACTTCTCACACGATGAAAATATTTAATTTAACTTTCTACCTTAAAGCACGTTCTTACAAGGTCCTTTTCAAACATTTAAGTATTAACGAAAGCCTTCACAACTCAGAAAATCAAACTTGATTCGTGTACTAAACTCTACATATTTGTAATAAAACAGGTTTTTAGCGCCCGCATCTTGAGGTACTTACTCGAATAATCGTTGCCCAGAACGAGCGATTCTTCATTAAACACCCTACTTTCAATAATAGGCGCCGAAACTTTCAACATAGCCCCCTGTATAGTACTTGCGTTCAAGAACGGCGGTAAACTGAACACTGTGAGGGGAAAGAAGCTAAAAATGCATTCTCGTGCATTTTCTTCCTTTCTATGATTATGAATGTAGCTCATTTGAGTAATCCTGTTACTAAAGGCCTTGATCTTATTGAGCCACCGGCGAAGCAAGGGCCTATGGGGACCTCAACCAGGAGAGAATCCTGGGAACGAGGTTGATGGGAAGCTATGACTGTAGAATAGGACATCTATGTAAAGTCCGTGGTACAATATATGTCGGTACATTATAGGCTGACATACACTAAGTAACTACCTGAGAGAAGTGAAAGACCTCTGGGAAATGGGTAAGAAATGACACAGATTGCATATATTTTCTCAGATTGCAACAATGTCGACAAAATACCCAGTCCAAGTTGACTGCATAAGACAAGTTCCGTACTCTTCGCTTGAAGACGACGCTCAACCGCTGACGGACGAACTAAGCCCAGAAAAACCAGCAGAGAGCAGTGAAGAGGAGTACGACACGGATTTGGAGAATGAATTTCAGGAGGACATCCTTGAAGGGAGAAGGGACAAGAGGCATTATACTGCAGCTTGTAAAAATCTTGGCTTGATACCATGTACTCCATTCCTTCGGCAGCTGGACAAGGCAGAAATGAACTTGAAGCATTATAACCTTGGTCCGATGGGAGCCGAGGCTGTGGCGGTGGCTTTGATGCAGAACAACTCCGTTTTGACCCTGAATATCGCCGATAACAGCATCGGAGTCGACGGTGCTATTTACATTGCCAAGATGTTAACAGAAAATCCCTTCATTACAGAGCTGGACGTTTCGCAAAACGATCTTCGCACTCAAGGAGCATATGCCATGTCGGAGATGTTGAGAGAAAATAACGAACTTTTAGAGCTCAACCTCTCGAACAATGGCTTCGAGGAGAAGGATGCAGAGCCGATTGTTGAAGCTATGAAACAGAACTACACGCTTAAATCTCTGAACCTCAGCCACAACAACTTCTGCGAGATCGGAGGTCAACTGCTGGGTCCAGCAATAGATGGAAACGTGGGATTAGAATATCTGGATTTAAGCTGGAATCATCTAAGAAGAAAAGGAGCTGTGGCAGTTGCATACGGACTAAAAAACAACTGCGCGTTAAAATTCCTGGACTTGTCCTGGAATGGTTTCGCTGACGATGGTGCCAAAGCAGTAGGTGAGGCGCTCACTGCGAACAACACTCTAACAGAGTTGGAAATCTCAAGATTAGCCTAAAGCCAGCAGCCTCGCTTTACCGAGCGTTTTCCTGAGCTCGTTTTAAGCTGAGAAGTCCAGAAAGCGCAACCGGTCTTGGGTAAGGTCTCGCTTCCTCGTATACTCTAAAATTCGCGACAACTTAAGAACAAGGAAAGCGCCATCGAGGAGTTATACTTTGACGGAATTCCCGTGAATGCGGAGTTTGAAGAGTTACTAGAAGACGTGCTTGATGAACGAACGAACCTAAGCGTGCAGTGTGGAACGGCCATGCAGGGGAAAGACAGGGTTAAAAGAATGAAAAAGAAAGTGGTAAGTAAAGTTTTCCTTGAGCTGTAAAATATTATTCTTCAGTTGTAGAAACTACTTACAGAATAGCTTTGCATACAGATCTGACTCAAAAGTGAGCCTTGGACCCAGATCTCCTAGTTATAGGTTTGGGTCCGCGGTTCAGACGCGGTATTTCAGAAGAGCAGAATCGAATTCAATGAAAAAAGTTCATGTGAAGTACTGCGTCTAAAAGAGACGTTCCCGGAAAAATGTGAAACAAGACTATCGTTATTCATTCTCAACAGTACCTAAAGAACGAAACGGTTCAAATTTCGGCTGCGAGTACTAAAATTTCACTTGGTACTTAACTAAATGACTGTCTCAGAGAAAAAAGCTTCAATTGTGCCTAATAATCGTAGCGATTAACTCTTGCTAACTACACACAGAGTTGTGAACGATGGCCTTTGTTGTCTTTTGTTGTACTCAAGATTGATTTCGAAACTTCGAAAAAAATGCTGGGAGACCGAGACTTACGAGTACAGACTAGACCAAGAAAAGGGCGACATGAATGGAAACTATACTACTATCACACAACATTTGGAAATTTCTGAAATAGTTAGAGTACCAAACTGTACCAAAACAGATTTTTTTCTTTTGCTCTCTCGCAGGATGTTCTCAACTTACTGCTGGAGTACATAGAGCTCAGAGGCTTGCGTGTTGTAGACTTCTTTCGCCAGCTGGACAAGGACAATAGTAAAAAGATCACCCGGGCGGAATTTATGAACGGTGTCAAGAGAACAGGCATCCCCATGACACGAAAGCAATTGAAGAAATTGGTGCGGATACTTGATACAGACAACGATGGCAACATCGACTACGGAGAAATGGTCGCTATTAAAAAGGACGATGTGTTTGACTTTTATCACAAGAAGAAGACATACAAAAAGGACGATCCACTTTTGCAGTCTTTTAAGAGCACTCAGCAGAAAAAGGCATGAACATTTCTGTCTGACACTAGAGTACGAAATCATGTAAGAAATGTCTTCTGCGATGTTTAGAACCATCCAGGCAGTCCACTAGAAAAAGGATTTAAGCCTCAGAAGATCGAAAACGTACGAAAAGGACAATCAACTTTCTACAGTCCTAAACAAAGTCTCGCATCTTTCGGTTTAACCTAAAATATATTACATGGAAAAAACATCGTCTTTGCAGTCTTTAAAGGTGCTCAGGCAGCCAAAAGAAAATGATTTTCCCCCCAGCTTCTATCCCCACAGGTCGAGATGGCTTGTTTATGAGGGGGGAGGTAACTAATTTTATTACCTTCATCATCTTGAACAAATAAGGTTCCTTGCTGGGCCTGGGCCTGTACTTGGCCGGGCTCACAGGAATCACAAGTTTGTGACCCTGGGTGAATGTGAAGGCGAAGTGATGTGCTTCCAAGGGTAAGTTCATCTCCATGAGTAATGACCTGGAGTTTACTTTCTTGTTTGCTCTGTAAGAAATAAGACATTACAACTAAATTATAAGGAAGCTTAAGCAAAGAGCGTCTTGGAGAGACACAAGTCAAATGGAAGTGTACCTTCTGTACTCTTTGCCCAAATTTTCAAGCAAATCACCTCTATAGGCCTATCGGTAGATTGAGACACTTTATAACAAAAAACGTTTGGTAGCGACAGGGCATATTAAAAGGGGAAAGACCTTGCTGTCAGATGACGTTCTTTCATAACATAAGCAAGTTTATCTTGAAGGTCTTTCTGTGTCTGCTACTTTTCGCATATTTTGTTAGCACCGAAATGCAAGGACTTTTCAGAACTGACTGCAATTTTCAAGGACTCTGGAGGCCTAGTCGCGTTAGTACCCCGTATAAAGCCTTAAACACCCTTGTATAATATACAATAAAAAGCGAGAAGCAAGGAAAAAACTTCTAATTCTTTTCAGATAACAGAAAAACTGCCCTTCTCCCCAGGGGGGTGATAGTGGTAGCAGGCCACAAAGGATTCTGACAACAGTACATAGCTGAAGAGGCATTACGGCCACATTGTCACTGTAATGAAATCCCACGGAAATAAACACCCTTCATTTTAATTCCTGTTGTCTTTTCTAAGTTTTAGATAGGCTCAAAAATGCAGTTTCCTGTGATACCATGCACTTGCAAATAAAAATATGTATAGTTTACCTCAGAGAGCCGACAACCATTCAGAAATGTCCCATTTCTACTTCCAACATCACTGATAAAAAACTGACGTCTCTCTTTATCAAACTCAATATTACACTGTGTCTGAAAGAGGAGAAAAGAGAAGGTGAGAAAAACCAGGCAGCAGATCATTCAACAGTTGCAGGATTTAAAAATTTCAACTGCATATCAAATACCTTGCTAACTTCAACATCAGGTATTCTTATGACATGTGACACATTTTTCTCCCTGCAAACAAAGGTCCTAATTAAAATCGTGAAGTACAACCTTACGGCTGATTCCCTATAGGCTAGCCCTGCATTCAAACTTATAACCAAGGAGAAAGGAAATCAGTTACTAAATAGTTCACTGATATCAACATACTGAAGAGTACAAATATGTAAATAATTGATGTTGCTAGACCATATACCTTCCAATTGTACCACCAATGTATGTAACGATAAACAGGCTTCCTACTTTCAACTTTGATGACTTGGTTACTATTGCCCTGATGCAAGGAAACTGCACTTCAGTAACTAAAATGTAAAACATAAAAAAATAAATGTTTAAGATATATGTGACTTTATTAGATGGGGAGAGATGACAGAAAAGGAGAGCATGGAAATATTATTTACTACACACATTTAGGCAAGACCACAGGAGATCAAATAAGGAGTGCATCTTAAAAAAGTAGTTTTCCAAAGGAAAAGACCGAATCAAAGCTTAACTACATTGCAAATAATGCCAAGGGGTGAAGGGTCCTATAATTCTGGGGACTGGGGGGCTACAGTGTACAATGAACATTAATTTTTTAGTACATTGGAAAAGACTTGATTGACAGAAAAAAGTATAGTTCTCAAGTGTCTCGAAGCTGGGCACTGATTGCTGACAGGGCTGCTGGGAGAAAGGTCTTTCCATTCTGCCTGTAGACTGAAAGATTAACTATTGATTTTAGCATGGTAAAACAGTCCTATACCCTCTACTTCCTTGTCACTTTCAGCTTCATCTTCACTGCTTTCTTCACCACTTTCCTTTTCATCTGTACTGTCTTTGCGAGCTGTTTTTTGCTTGCTGCTGGATATATCAACTCTGGAGTGAAGTTTGTAAGCGCCACTCTGTTCATCATAATAGTAGTAGATACCTGTAGTGTTCTCATAGTACAGGCGACTAGTCTAAAAACAGAATGAGCTCATGTCAAAACATGACCACACCCAGTCACATGCTGCCTCCATAAACAAGGATATGAGCCCTTTTAGTCTCAAGAGAGCCAACTATCAAAATTTAAGAGATATCATGAGATAATCTTAATAATAAAAGTTACTGTTAGACAGTTGCAATACTGAGAAAATGGAAAAGAATACACATTAAAAAAGATTAAAATACAGAATCAGTCCCCCTTCCTTAGTAAAATGGTCCTTTATATTATTTCACAAGGGCCCCACTGGGTGATTGGCCAATTCCTGGATCAACCGTGCCTCATCTGCCCCTTAGGTGCTTATGTCATAGATGGCAGACTAGATGATGCTTACATAAGTACTTACAGGATCATAGTAATAACCAGTATTCCAGTCATAATAGAGTCCTGTGCGATCATCATATACAAAACCACTCTGGCTCATAGCAGCAGTAGCTGCCTCTTGCAATGCGGTTCTGAGATCCTAGAAACAACATTAAAACACAACAAAAAACTTACTTAGTAGCAGGACTCTCCTCCCACAAATTGATATTTATTTGTGTAGAACAAAGCAAGAATTTGACACATGACTTACCTTGGTTTCAGTTGCCTCAGTTTCTTGAGCTTCTCTGTTCTGATTCGGCCTAGTTAAATATTCTCTATCTATGCATTTGGAAAATAATAATGCAGGATCAGGGTATTGGATTTGTAGTAAATGATTTTTAGCTGTTCCCCTCCCCCTCCCCCCTAGTACCCCGAAAAAAATAAAAAGATGACTGGAATTCATACCCTCAATTTTTTTTCAGTGCCCTTTGACATAAAAGTCCAAATTTTTTCGGCTTCTTTGAAAAAAAACTCGGAACATCCTATTCATAAGCCGGCGGCATCCTTAGCAGAGGGTGTGGGGGTGCGGATAAAAAATGGAATTTATCAGCTGTATAGCAATCAGCTGATATGAACTTACTATTTATACTATCATTTGACCGAACGGCATTACCGTTCTTCCTTGTGCCCTCAGCATTTCTTTTCCTTTCCTCGTGCAGCTTCTTACTCAACTCCTTCACTTCACTTTTCAAGTTTTCCACACTTTTCCGAGCACTGTCCCGCTCGAATTCCGCCTTCTGAAGTTTCTTCTTCACGGCATCAAGCTCGCGTTTTAGCTCATCTATTTGCTTGTTCAAGTTGGCAACTGCATCTTTTTCCGATGTAATGTCACTAGAAGCTTCAATCGAACTTTCCAACTTGCTGTCCGTGACATCCATTCAAGACCATTTGAGGTGAGATCTACAAAGAACACAGAAACATGTCGGTCTATACAATTGCTCCGAAATCCACCGAGATCTCCCTCGCTTACGGTTTGCCACATGGCAAACAAAACCACCAAAGATTTCTTAAACTGCTGTAAGCTTTTGAAATGTTTACTCTGGTAATGACCAACGCTTTTCGGCTAATTCTCAGCAAACCAAGACACTGGGAAATGCGACTTGTTTCTTTGGCTTCGACCCGGCAGCCATCTTTGTTTGTCTAGACCCAGTCTACTCTCGGTCAAAAAAAGAGTTGCTCGATCAAATATCAGCGCAGGTGATTCATTGAACAAATCGCGTTTCCAAGGCAAATACTGGTCGAATCGCGTCTTTATGTTTTGGCTGCGTATATTATAATCTTTTCTAAAAAAATACTGGGCGAATACCCGAAATTTTCCCTTCCGATGTAACATTTTGTGATAGAAGACCTTTCGCTTTCCAGACGGGATGTTCATAACAGTGCGATTTGCAGGTAAGGGGACTAAGTTCTTGCACAAATTTTACGAGTATTTAAGGATAAAAATGTATATATACAACGGAGAAGTTAACCAAGCGCCTTGAAAAATAAAGCGCTACTCTGATGGTTGTGGCACCACGCGATCTTTTGTAGGTATGATCCAGCTTATAGCTAAAGGGGGATTTTCTGGTAACTGTTCTCTAAAGAAGTAATACTCTCTTAGATACTCAAAAACAAAGAACGAGGAGAAGGGAAAATCTTAAAGGGTATAATTAAACAATAACGCTTTTGTTGTGTATTTTTAAAGAGGCTCTTAGCAATGCCTGTGTAGAGAGCATTGCCGTGCCGGTCACGAATACGACCGGAATGTCAGACACAAGTCCTGAGGCCTTATAGTTTTAGGGTAATCAGTTTTCCTGTAATAAAAATCATTTATCTTGGCGACGACTAAGATATGGAAATTAGGTTGGAATGAGAGCAAACAGATATTATATTGAAAAGGAAGTTGTCTTATTTACATTCATCTAATGTGTTTGAATCTGTTGGCGACAATGCACTCCCGACGTCAAATCTAATAAACTATAATACGAAATGGAAACAATTTGATTGAGCATTTTTTATGTTTAGTTTCGTTTTTTCTTTCCTTTGGGCATCCAGTAAAAGTAGGTAATATGAAGAACCTTTTCGTTATTTTATTTTTTTATCCAGGCTAGTAAGTCTAAGTCTCTGCTTGATACCTATATAAGCATAAACGCAAATTTATTACATTTCTATCTCTTGATATACAATAGTCTCTACATGCTGATTTTGTGATCCAATCCGCTGTTCTTCTTTAGATGATAAAACGGAACTTTTTAATCCAAACTGCAGAAATTGTCTGCTTCTTAGCAACATAAAGGAGCGATGTGACTGCGAAGACGATGGTAACTATAGTTTTTACATTTATTTTTTATTGATCTCTTTATCTTTTGAAGAAACAAATACATGACGGGAATAAAATTTTCCTGTTGGATTTATTATTGCATGCTCTTGACCTATCATGACTCTCTTTTACTCAGGGAAATCTCCGGCCCATTGCATAACTAACTCGCCAAGACTCTAGGTGAGCGCATCATTACGGATCGAAAGCACCCATTTTGAAAAGAGCTCCTTGTGTGGCCGGTACCGTGCACATAATTTTTTTATGCGGATGACCTAGATTTCAATGTCTTATTAATATGTTGTGGTAACCATCTCTTTCCTTTTTTTCATCCTTTACAGATATCATCGATCTTTCTGATGAAAGCGGCTCACTAAAACATCTTCAAAGCCATCCGTTGGATTACGGAACCAAATACTTCAATGAAAGAGAGATTCTCATTCTTGTAAAAAAAGAAAGTAAGAATCTATTTTAAACAGTTAATCGACTTTTGTTTTACCTTAGTAGTATTATTCAGCTAAGGAAACTAAGAGCCGAGCAGTCTTTTGAGGAAATCATGGGGTGAAAAATAGTCATCCATGGAACAAACTTTTGACTATTCATCCAACACACTCACTAAGGCTTTTCCTTAACTTGTTGAATTTAGAGCGTTGGAGATCATATAATCAAGAGTCTCGGGTACTGAAACTGAAAAACATAAGTTGTTTCATTCAGGACTCATACAAAATGTAAGGTTTGCCATGAACTTTCTCAGTTGAATTTTCCTGAATTACATGGCTTAGCTTTGTCGCACCCCTTCCAAAGTCTGCGTGTCTTTTCGCTGAGTTCTTCACTGTTTTCATCACAGAAACTGATGGTGAGACTATGACCTTCGTACCACTCCTGGAAGGAATGGAAACTAATAAGGCGTTCTTGGGTAGGTGAAATAAAGTGTTTTAAAAAAGTATAAAGATAAAAACTGAGATCGAAAACCAACGGTTTACCGATTACTTCCAACACAAGCGTACTTGAAAGACTGCCGCGGCGGAATGACATGAATTCAACGGTATGTTTTCCAGGGTGTATAAATGTGATTTGTGAATAACGTGTTCAGTTTAATGCGTTAAAAGGTTCTGTTTTCAGAAAAAAAAAATTAGAATATTTCATTTCTTTTTTGAGATATGAGAGGTAAGTGTTCTAAGGAAAGGTTAGCACTATCTTGATTACCACTGAGTATTTTTATTGGACTGATAAGCTGACTGATTGGTTGTTTGAATGGTTAATATCGCCATCTATTAGACTGCGCAGCTGGCGGAATTGCTTGTCCGCGCGCGTGAGACTTTTGGTGAATTGTTTGTCCGCGAAAATGAGTGTTTTGGCGGCGAAGCAGCAAAACGCGAGGATCCCGTCAGCTAAGCAGCCTACAATAATCGATTGATTAGTTGACTGATTGAATAATTGATCGTGATTAATTTTTAGAACGCCTCAACCCACCGCCACCAAAACCAGAAAAGGTACGCTCGCCAACAAGGGATTCCCCAAGCAAGCTGTACTCTGAGGGAGCCCGAGGGAAAAGGGCATCCCTCGCACCCAGGCCAAAAATAAATCAACTAGCGCCTCCGTCGAGTTCAACAAGATCGCTCTCCCCGGGGAGAAGAGGTAGTAGAACGAGGAGCCAAAGCGTGCAACTTGCGCAAGCCCCAGTTGGATCATTCCATTCATCAAGACGGGCTCGGTAGCTGACGCTTATGAATACATGGCATTTGACTGCGGGAGTTGTAGGGAAAGATGGAGTGGAGAAACTGGACCAGTGGATCGTCCATAGGGAGCCCTATGACGCGCGTAGGCGAGACAAAAATGATAGTAATAAAGGACAAACTCTAGAATTAGAAATTTTATCGTCATAAGTCTTTATCAGCTTTCAATCCATATTTATCCCAAAAAGTGTTTTCACGAGGTAGGAATATCAATATTAAAGAAATATATAACGCGATACTCTCAGTCAATTCTTTTGAAGGAAAGAAAGGGATAAACTGTAAATGGCGTCCAGGATATGACTTACAAAATGCCCTCTGCAAGTACTTTATGTAGGGCTGTTGTTGCATGTTTGCTCGAAACCAGCGTTCACACCAACTGGATCTTTTTATAATGTTGTTTAAATGAAACCGGAAAACGCCACTTGATTTCTTAGAAATTTTTATTAACAATACGTTGTCTGCATCAAAACCATCAGATATTTTCTTGAGTTCTCTACTGTTCAGTTTTTTCTAAAAGGGCCCATGTTATGCACTGGTGTTATGGTATTCAATTTTTCTTTATTGTTTTTGCATGTACCGCTTATTATCCAATAACCGCCCCCCGGCGTTTATTACTTATAATTATTTGTCCGAAACCGATTTAATACTGGCCCTGAACTGATGTAATTAAAAAGAAAGGGTCTTTAATCGCTTTTCCTGACAACTGTGAATCTTACGTTAACATAGTCAAAGACTACTTTAATATTAATAAGTTTTTAGGCTCGTATCTTTTAGGTTATGTCCACACTATAACGGATAGCGCATGCGCCGACACAATAAACATATCTGATAAATAAATCTGATAAGGTTTCCGTTCACCGCACACAAGAATGTGGATTTCGGCGCGATTTCTGGAAAGGTTGATTTCCACTGACGCGTTTTTGGCTACGCACGTTAACGCTGGTAAATTTTAATCACGTAAACAAAATAGAGGCAAGATAAAAATTGCTGAGCTTAAACGAGAAGTTGAGCAAAGTTCAACTTTTACGCTTACGAGCGACCTTTCATACATTGCCTCTATTTTATTTGCGTACGCACGTAAAAATTACGCGACACTGGAAATCAACCACAACGGAGTGAAGAAAATTAAAAAGCTGCGCAGCGCCGCGCCGATCTTGAAAGTTGGATCGTCACTTATCGAAAAGGTTTCTACCACTCTTTGTTGCCGCGCCAACAGGTATTCGGACCGTAGCGGAAGAAAATGATAAGGAGCGAGGACTGGAACACCTCAGAAATGAGGATTGGGGGAAGACTGCGAAATTACGAAAAGTCAGCGGTCTGATTCCAGACCGTTGTATCTACGTTCCGTTTCATTGACTGGATAAGATCCTCGTATCCCTGAATCTCCGCTACAGCATTTGCAAACTTGACAAGCTAATTGGCCTATTGCGGATTTCAATACTGCTCTCCTTATATGGCGATTAAAGAAGCCGTATAAGATTGGATTGACAGCTGCCATGGAAACGAATATATAGGTAACTATGAAGTCTACTACCGTTGAAGGGCTTGATTGAGAAAGACCTGACCATATACCAACGATGTAATAAGGAGACAAAATGACGAGAAATGTTGTAAGTAAAAGAAGCGCGCTTTGAACTGTTTTCTGCTCGTAAACAGAACTTTGCCGTGTGAGAGTGCGTTTGAGAGCTTCTTTCTTTCTCTTGAGTTCTTTCTCCTTTTCTATAGTGTTAGATGCCTCGAAGGATAAAGAGACAGACGTTGCAGGAGAAGATATATTCCCTCTCTCGGAAGTTGAAGGCGAAGACACGCTATACTGTGAATTTCTTCTCCTTTGTCTAACCCAAAAAACAAACTTTTGATAGATGGTTCGCGAACGTTCGGTCGGCTTTGCCGTCAAATGCTCGCTGTGAAGTCCTTGAAGGGTATTATAGCCCGTAATCATCCGTTGGCGTTTTGTCTTGAGATAAATAGCGCGGTAAATGTACATCAGAATTCCAAATGGCACCAAGAAACTTACAGTCATGAGATAAAATGTATAAACCAGGCTAGGTCCACCATCTTGCCAATCAACTGTGCAAAATGCTTTTCCAGGGACGTATCTGTAAGAATTCCAGCCAAATAATGGCGGAATTGCAGTAACGATAGAAGTGAACCACACAAAAGCAACAATTTTCCTGGCTCGGCGCAGGCTTATCGTGGCATAAAGGGGTTCAACAATGAGGTAATAGCGATGAACTGCAATGGTTACTACTGAAAAGTTCGATGCCATTGAAAGCAGATTGATCAACATGCCAGAAGTCTGACACCACGCGTTGTTGAATGGCCATCGGTCCGTAATTACCGACGCCATGGTGTAAGGGGTGTGCAATATCGTTAGAAATAAACTTGCTATAGCTAAGGAAAACGGAAATAAGTTTGAAGGCGTCTTTAGACGGTAGGGAAATAGCATGGCTTGGCATATTGCAATGTTCAAAAGAAAAGCGACCACTAAAAGGACTCCAAGGAAAAAGGCTTCAGCGATTTTCTCCGGTTGCGAGCGATTGGCTGAGAGATGATTCATTCTTGTTAATCCATTAGATGCATATTCTGATGACTTTATTGTAACACCTGTAAAGAAAATTAAGTAGGATATCAGAATAAACAAAGTCATTTCTCTAGGAACAAACAGTAAAGGGAAATTAAACCTACGTCTCTGAACAAAATAATTCAAGTAAAATAAAAGCCACACAGCTGTTCAGAGGTGCTGTGTCACGTTACACATCGGCTCAAAGGGGCTGTGTCACGCCACACAGTGGCTCAAAGGGGCTGAGTCACGCTATTTGCTATCCTTTTGATATCTTCTTCATGACTCAACAGGACCATTCTGAGTATAGGCGCTAACTCAGACTCAGTAATGACTTCAGCTCGGAACTGACCTAAAATGACATAGCCCCTCTAAGGTGAAAGCTCCATTTCTGTCGAATTTTTTGTCCATTTACCTTCGTATGTTATATTCGCCGCAGAAAAAAAAAAACTGCTCCCTGCTGTGTCTACATTAATCATTTAGTCATTGTTCTAGCGGCGTACAAACACTGCAGACCGTTATTAAAAACGCCAGTGTTTAGTAAAGCCGTGTTCGACAAAACGTCGGACAAAACTAGCATCTAATAGTTTCTCTTAGCGAAAAAATGAACAGAGCACATTTTTATACGTCAGACCTCGGCAAAAAAATTGCTCTTTGTTTACTTCAGCAATTAACTCACTCATTAGCAAGTCTCGAGGTCAACTGATTGTCTAAAACCACCACACTAAGTAAGCCTTCGTTTTAAAACACGGCCTTTCATTAGTAAACTCCATAGAGCAGCCACCTCTTCAAATCGGACACTGTTTCTGGTTCCTTTACCCCATCGCCAAAAAGCATAAGACAGACCTATTAACTACCTAAAACTTGAGTTTGTGCGCAGTGAGGAGGTCACAGACCGTGAGGGACGTCTATCTTTCACTACTGTGCTGGTTTAGGAGAACTATTTAGTAGGGGGGCCATGTGCCCTATTCTTATCACACCTGCCTTCTGGCAAAATATTAACTTACACATAAACGACTAAGCACTGAAATTATTAGAGAAACATGATCATCATTTGTTTCGTTCAGCTTAAGTCGTGAGGAGGGAAATTCTTGAAATACAAAGGAGACAAAAATAGCGTTGTTTGCACTATGGACTAAGGGTGGCGCCGCAAAAGTGTTTTGAGTGTTACATAGACCACAACGAAGACTTCGGGATGTCGTCAAACATGTTACGCGAAGTAGTGCTGGCAATGTTGCATCGCTTGGCATGTCTTGAACTTTATTTCACGCAATGTCGTAGATATCTAAAGGCCCTGTCATTAATAAAAAATAATTTTCACGACAGCTTTGCGAAATAATATGTACAAAATTTGCAACAAAACTACAAGTTCCAGAAAAAATGTTCATAGTGTAACACCTCCTTACTGACTTACGTCCAACGTTACAAGCAGCAGTTTCAGATTTATACACATAATGTAATTTATGCCATTGCGCGCAAACTTGCGTGCTATATTGCGCCGTGTGTCAAGGAGCTAAATAACTTATTGTTTTACTTCGACAAACAAGAGTTTTTTTCGTCCCGACTTTTAGTACAACAATAAATCTGTTTGAAATTTATCTTTTGTGGATGGAGAGCAAAATAGCAACCAGATCAACTGAAGGGACTTACTATTTTTGACGTAACGTTTCATTTAAGTAAATACTGCGTGCCGATGGGCAACTTGAGTGGACCGAATGCTTTTTGTTAGTCGGGTCTTCTCTTAATAACACGTCCAATATCAATGGCCGTATAATTACTGATTCAATAGCTTCCTTGATAACTTTGTTTGAACTCTTTTAAAAGCCGAAAGCTAGCCTTCAATTAGACTTCAATCATAATTTAATTTTTAAGGTGTAACAAAACAACGTTTTAATATAAAAACGTCCAGAGAAATTTTTTTACCATGTAATTCACGATGAGTTGGGTATTTATGTCACTCTACTGAGTTCAGTGACACAAAACGCCCAGAGGGTTTTAACTTATTGTGAACATTCTAATTGAGCTTGGCTTCTAGAGCAATATACTAAACGAGCTGTCGATCGACAGCATCTCGCTGGGCTACTCACGGATTACTCTCTTGCGAGTACGAGGCCGTAAAATCATTTGCAAGAAATGACAATGACACAAAAAATAACGCAAGAACGCGTTTTATCAAAAGTGGCATTGTCGGTTTCAAAGACAAAAAATTTATGTATTAAAATACGTCTATAATTAACAAATTTGTACAGAGACATGCCGAAAAAGTATCTGCGACAGGAATTTCAGACTTCAATATACATATGAAAATGTTAGCAGCGAATAATTGCCCACTTAATAGTCTAGTTGTTTGAACAAGCTGAGTCATAGACAATTCTTAAAAGAATCTGTGAATAAATTATGGAGCCACACAGAAGAATTTTGCCCTCATTCTCAACAACGTAAACGTCTTTTGATTTAAAGATCTTAAAAACTTGTCGCAAAAGGTGAACTACCGTTTCTTCAATGTAGTCGCCCGTGACCCAAAACTGTTAAGTTATGACATGCTCGAAAGAACGAGTTCAAACGTACTAAACTGTTTGAATGCGCGTGTTTATCTTGACTTTGACAACTTGTGAAAAGTTCTTCTTCAGACTTATGAACGATTAATGACAATTGTCAAGTGCCCTAAGCTTAAACAAAACTATGCATGTTGAAGAAGACCTTTTAAAAAATCGCTCACCTTCATAAAGTTGACCATCCAATTTGAAAACGGCGGAGAATGAGTACAACTTTGTACAAATTAATACGGGGCTGAACAAGACAAGGAAATCGATGCACTTGTCTGCCTTATAACACTTGATCCAAATTATAAGAAATCAATGATTTATCTTTCACTTTCAACCTACACTTGTGCCGATAACTGCAAGAAGCTTTGGGGACAACAAATTCCAACGCGCTGTACAAATTGAACCAAAAGCGACCGACCGCGAAACCGTGACCATGAAATGAAACCGACCACCTTTTTATAGAGAGTCAATGTTTGCATTTGAAAGGCAATTAAAGTTGAGAAACAATAGGCTCAAGTAGGATCCACACCGTGACTACCTATTGTTTATAATGGCCATAGCTAATCGCTGCTGCCAAAAACATGCCTGTTGTGTCTTTGCAAGCACAGTACTGATCACCTTGATATACTGTGATTTGACCTTCTTAGTACATGCACTATCGAAGCAGTCTGCAAACTGGACAAGACTTACAGAAGTCGCTGTTAGCCATGAACAGAGTTATTTTTTGTTTTACAACTTGGGTTTAAACGTCATAGTAAAAATAATTTGATTAATAGGCCGTGGAATTTTAATTTGGAAAAACTGTCTTGAAATGATCCAGTTTTTAAATTTATTGACAAATGAGTTAAATCAAAGGATGAACTTCGACAGCTTAAACGCGAACTCAGTTTAAATCTGGATACGGTGAAGGGTAACCTGACAAAAACTATCCGTGAACTGTAGCAGCTTACTAAAATTGGATGGTTGCGACAAAAAAAAATAATTAAATGTAGCAACACGGAAATCACGAAAAGTCCTGCTCTCAAAATGCGGAAACAGTTGAAATTTGGTGTATGTTTTAGACGACTAAGTAAAGCACTTCTACATTTGCATAAAAGAGATCTCGAGGAAACAACCTCTGATGCCTTGTATTATCAATTCTCAAACGTTAATGTCCTTTTTACTTACATTGACATGTAATTACCTACGTATAGTTACGTTCACAATTAATGAAATTCACAAGTCGATTTTATTGCCGTAAGGGACTCGTTAATAGCGAGAACTAATTAAGTCGCTCCCTGCCACTTGTCGCGAAATGAATTCGCGCCGTTGTAAGGTCGACTGAGCAGGAATCTGGGTGGAGCTGCCTTTGAATTGACTAGATAAATTACAAATTTGCCAGGTCCGCTAAGGTGTGACAATTTTCAGATCTCAAACTATCCACTAGGCTCCAGCGGTTCAAAAGTTGGATAGCACGATCCAGTACATAAATCTCTATACACTCAATGCCACGTTTGATCAACTGGGGACAGAAGATCACCAAGCTTGGTAAAGTTACCACGCAAATCTCAACGGAAAATGAACGCTAGAGTTCATGATACGTGTCGCTTCAGAAGATGAAACGATCAGTCAATTTTTCAAACTATTCACCCACTTTTGCCTCGAATTTGTACTTAAAAACTTGTACACTTTAGGCTCAAGGTACGCGCTTGCTGATACCACGGGCTGCCCACACTATGAGGTGATTAGAACCATGTCGAAACTGATGACTGCTTGAACTTCATATACAAGTTTATACAAGTACCTAAATCAAGAGAAGTCACGTGATCTCGTTGGTGACGTAGCGGCAGTAAAGTGTGCTGTAGTTGGGCTTCCTGGTTTTCTGAAACCCGCGGCGCCAGGTGGGCTCCATTTCATTTGCGAGTCTTTTGAACCTTCTACTTCTCTAAATGCTTGTGTTGACGAGACAGATGTTTTGGGTTTTGTCGAGCTCTCTACACTACCATCATCACTCGGTCCTGTGTGCTCTGGCGTACCACCCGGTAATCCGGAGGGTGGGGTGGGAGGGTCATTATAAGGTTTCCCAGTTAGTTGTCCATATACTGCCATAGCCTGGAAGTAATACAGAGAATTGAGTCCAAAACAAACCACGGGTGCATCGAGTATAATAAGTCGTTGAAACGTGTTTTCCTAAAACTTTTGCCATAACCTTTAACTGACAAAACAATACACACGAATTAAAGCAAACATTGATAAAGTAATTTCAACACGCAATAACAGAGAAGAACTTTTGATTTCACCCTTATGCTTTTTCCAAAGTCCTCGTTTATGATTGTAACGAGATGGTTTTTCCTAGTCAAAACACGGATAACATATATTGACTTCAGTCAAACTCGTTTCTAGGGTCCCTGGGACTGATGAAGAAAAGAAACCCTGGGAACAAGATTGTTGATTAGTTTACGCAGATCGTTTACGCACGTTCTTATAAGCGCTGGTCGTGCAGTTCTAGCAAGTAAAATTTGGCCATCGTCTCCTCTGGCACAGGATGGCGGACGCCTCTTTTTATGAACCGCACACTAAGGGCGTGTGTCTGGTGCTGCCTTGACTGTGTTTAAGCTTAGAAAAAAACAATCATCGCTAAAAACAACGATATAAAAGGGGAAAGACTTTTTCTCAGTCACACTGCATGTGGGTGTGTTTCGTCTCGTTACGTTATGAAAGAACACACCGAGATAGCGACACACCGTTAATATTGCAGCTGATAATTTACCAACATGGTACAAAAAAGACACAGTTTGTTATTATAAAATATTAAGATCACAGCTGCTATGTGCGCCAGTTCTGGCATTATGACCAACAAGTTAATGAATATTCTTAGAATTCTATGCATGTTTTAAGCTGTTGTTCGAGTCTCTGATACCTAGTTCTTGCAGGATTGGCATGAAATGAAACGAAGTGTGTAAGTTTATATTTATGAATGCTCTGAAGGGAGGAATTACCTTAGAAATACTTGCATGTAAAGTATGGTTAAGAGATAGGAAACGACCTCACGGACGTGAAAAGAAGACGATTTCAAGACTTATGGCGAGGGCGCTAAGGGCGCTTTCTATTTGTCAGAACTGGTCCGGCTATGGTCCGGTGCCCTAAGTGATCAAATTCCAAGTTTAGACAAGGGAGAGAGGTGGTAATTAAGCCAGAATAATTTATTACCCGCCCTTTCTGTTCAGACAGTAAGGAACTTGCCCGGATTAATGAGGCAATTCCAAAGTCTTGTTGTATGAGTAGTGAGGCAGATTTTTTCTTTTGCAAATGAAGTCAACCTTCTCCTTTACTTTCCCGATTTAATTATCTCTTGCAGCTTACCTGCGCTACCATAGAAGCCGGGTCTCCTACATTTGCTGGCAGAACCACGGTGTTATTAGTCTTGGCCAAATTGGAGAATGCAGTCACGTATAGTTCAGCAACATTGAGACTGGCTGCCCTCTCTCCTAACTAAAATCACAAGAAAAATAGTTAACCATAGCACTATGCTTTCTACTTAACAATCCATCACTGGATAACAATTACCAAGACAGGTTTTGGAAACTATCTCATCCTGATCAATAATTTGAATTCAAATTTCTTACGGAATAACTACTCATCCAACAAGCAGGTTCGAAAAAACTCGAAAGGGTTTTATCAATTAACGTAATAATTCTTCCTACGAGAAATAGGTGAGCAAGGATACAAGCCAACCTCTTGAAGAACTGAGCTGGGGCTGATTGAAGTCCACGATAAATAAATAAATAAATAAATAAATAAATGATAAACGGATAGCAAGCTTTATACAATGTAAATAAATGATGATAAACACCTTTTCTTGCAAAGAAAGAGAAACTCGCTGAATTCCCTCAGCACGTGCTTTGGCTTTCGCAATAATGGCATTTGCTTCACCTAAAATTGTAAAAACATGTCAAATCACTGTGTTGTTGAACATCCATTCAACAAAAGCAACTTAAGAGATACGTACATGCCATTTCAGCAGAAATTCTTGTAATTTTCTCATAAAGATCAAACGATAAAAACATTGTTGTTTACCAGTTGCAAGATTGATTTGCTCCATCTTTCTGGCTTCCGAGGCTAAAATTTGACTCTGTTTCTTTCCTTCTGCTACGTTGATGGCAGCTTCCCTTTCACCTGCGTAATGTGAATAAATTATGAAAAGGTTTTCAGAATGCTGTGATCTGCAATTTAGTATCTTTGTGATGGCTTCAAAATCTCGCATTTTTTTAGGTTCAGTCCACCAAATGTAAAACCTAGAAGTACATGGTAAGATCATGTCATCAGAAACTCACCTTCTGACTGTAGTATAGCGGCTCTCTTTTTTCTTTCAGCTTCCACCTAGAACAAGAAAAAATGCTAGTTATGAAGGATCACGTTCAACCACTGAAAAAACACAGAGAGAGTGACTGCTGCACAAGTTTACCTGCATTTGCATGGCTTCTACTACTGTGTTAGGCAGCTGAATATCCCCTGCAAGAAAATGACACGACAGTTGTTGACTTGTAATTAGTATTTGCATGAGATTCGCAGTATTTGAGTAAGCTCTCCCATTGTGGCATTTTATGCGAACATCAGGCGAGCTGAAGTGCACTTCGAGCTGAAAAACAACTTGCTTGTGTGAAAAGCAAACACAATCTTCTACAAGACCCCAAAAGGAGCCTACTTGCAAGATAGGCATTCAATGAAATACCAAAAGGAATTTTAGACATTGATGCGGCAACGCAATATCAGAGTGTACATCTTCAAGACTTTTCCCAAATTTCTGAAATGTTTCAAATATGCTCTATGTTGGGATAGAGACCAGAAATCACGTAGGTCACCAACACGCAGTTATCAAAACAGTGTACATTTAAGTCAGTTTAAACTATAACTTACTAATTTCATATCTCAAACAACTTATCCCCCAGACTTCTGCTGCATGGTTTATGGCCTCTGTAAGGAAAAGATTGATTAGCATCCGGTATAATCTAAAAAAGTACACAAACAGTACTAAAGTGATGAAAATTTGTTAAACAAAGTTTGTGAAACTCTGACAAATTTAACCCAAATTAAAGTATTGTACAATTTTAAAACAGTTTGATATTGCAAATCCCTTAAAAAATACCATGGTCTACTCTAAACATTAAGTTACATCTGATACTATTGCACATATTAATTAACACTTTATAATGCTGGACAGTTAGTAAACTAAAAGTAAAAATATTAATGATATCAAAACTATAAATTTGCTTAACGTTTACTTATGTTGTTGCCATACTCTTAGAAAGTAAAAAAAAAAAAAAATGAAGATAAAAAATGCTTTTCTTTTTTTGACTATTAAACTTTCTCAAGGTTTTTTTTAGTTAGGACATGGTAGACTTCCATGCTCTCACCTACAATGTTGTGGTTTAATCTTTCTCGTTCTTGAAATACATTGTCCAAGCTGATCTTTCCTGTAAGGAAAGCAAACAATAAATTAATATTCTACAGTCCCCAGTCATCTTCACAAAAAACATGGTGTCACTAGGGAGAGCTTAAATGAGAACCAACTGGCGACAAGACATGAGCAGCAACACCACAAGAAAGTCTGTATTGCGGGCCAACTTAATTTGACAATCAGACTTTTGTGTAAACCTCGTGGTCTCAGTTAAGCAAAATTAAGCAGTAAAATAATAAATTGGTGTGGAAATTGAGGTTCTGTTGTATGGATTTTGACTGTTCTACTGTTGGAGAACACTACTAAATCCTGTGATTAGCAAAACGAGTCTTGTGTATTCGCACAGTTTGCAGAAACATTGTACACCACTACAAACATAGGTCAGGATCAAACTATGATGGTTATGTGATGGTTGCAGAGTTATACTTCACTCACCCAGCTCGGACCTCATGGTTGTCTGTGCCAACTGAGTGACTGCAAACTCTGGATCTTCAACTCCATATGACGCCTACATAATGACAGTGGTAATGCAGAAGTCAACAAACCATGGGGACAAATCACATTAGATAATGTTGATCATTAAATTCTGTTGGTTAAATGTCTGTTTGCTTCGTCTTGTCGCATTATTAAAGAATGCATCAAGAAAGGGGCAAACTGTTTAGGTTTTGCAGCTGAAAAAGTCCACAAACAGTATATGAGTAAAGATGCTGCTTGCTGCATTAAGCTGCCAGGACACACGTACTACCAAGTGGCAATTCAAGTCCGGTATCTTGTTACATTGTTACGTGTACGTAAGACGTTAATGTTAAACCCTTCAGTCTACAGGTATAGTTTACCACTAAAAGGACAGGTATTTCCTGGACTACTTAACCTTAATAAATGATAAGAACCATTTAAAACATGTTAAAGGAATTTTCTGTATTAATTATTATAGTTATATTAAATAATATTTTGGATTTTCATGTGTTTTGCCTCAAAGACCGCACTGTTTTAATACTTACTATGAGAAACATGTTAGAGTTGATGGCCTATGTAACAAGTTTGCCTCAGACAGAAAAAAAACAAACCTTGAATGGATCAGTCACTCTCAAGTACAATACTCCATCAAGGTGAAGAGTAACATTATCTATTAAAATAGAAAAAGAAAAATGTAAGTATTATATAGCATACATTGTAGGTGGTATGGATAAAATTCATCATCATCATCATTGACCTTTGCGCCAAGTGGTGCATAGTGCTGTTCAACAAGATCCATCTAACAGTATTCACTGTATCTTTCTCCTGTTTTGAACAACAAAAGTATTTTTTTACGGGAAGGCAGGTCAAGCGTACCCCTACAATATTCTTTTAATGAATATTATTGATCACTTGAAAAATTAGTTGTTCCTGTAACCAGTGTCAAATTCAAATCGGCATTCCTGTATGCGTGATAAAAAGTGAATATTTTATGAGAACTTGTCTGTATTTGGTCAGATTGAAAATCTTTGAATGGATTAAATTTCTCACAAAATAATAATAATTTAATTTAATTTAATTTTAATAATTTTATGATAAATTTACATAATTTTAATAATTTTACATAATTACCACTTGTTTAGGTATTTAGAATTTTTTTAGCTGTTTTAATTTTTATTTATAGTGAGTCTTACGTGACCCTTCAGTGAGGGAACTAGTTTCTTCTTTTGGGTTTTCCTGTCAATACTTATAATCCTTTCTATTGGCAAACTATTTAAGTGAAGTAAAGTAAGAAGACACTTACATCAAATTCAGGGAAACTGAGCAGGTAGAATTTAGTAACTGCTTCCTGTGTGAATTCACAGCTCATTACGCATGCAAGAATGTAGGGATGAATCTACAACTACCAACAGATTCTACTTTCGAATAATAAATTCATGAGTGGGATCTTGGGGGATATGCTTGACCTGGCTCAACAGTAACAGTGCCAGGAAGTACATGTAAGCCCCCGCCCAAAGCTTCAGCTCGTCCACCAGAACTGGGCGTGGTACTCTCCTAGAAATGCTGCTGAACTAAATTTACTTTATTAAACTGTGCATGTGAAAAAAAGAAGAGATAAAAAGTGCAAAATTGATATAAATTCCTATAAATTCCTACCAAGTGTGATGGCAGATTGCGAAGGAATTTCAATGGCTACCTCCTTTAAACTTTGTACATACTTGATGTCATCAATAATAGGTAAGAGAATAGCTAGCCCCTGGCGATGAAAAGAGTAAAATAATATTAACTGGGATACATTTATATATTATAATAATACTTTATGATACTAATATTTATTCCTATTATTCCTCTATTAATTTACATTGATGTTTACCAAGTGAAAGTTCTCTATCTTCTAAATGTACTGCTACTTGTATACGTGCAATATATTCATGGATTTTTCATTAACTTATAAATCACACTTCATTAACAGAATGACTGAACACATCTATCACTACTGGAGCTGCAGTGACCTGGATCATATGAGAATCAGGAGAAAAAGAAAATTGTTTGGTATTTTACAGTTTTCTTTTTGTGGGGTCAATTTTAATCAAGCACATTTTGTGAGGTACAGTCTCCTGGCCCTGAAAAATGAAATTCTGCCCAGTATATAAGAAGCAGGGAATTCAAAATGTTGAACTGGAGCCAGGGTGGGGAGCTCGCTCATCCTTTGTGTAAACTTTGATTGAATTTTTCCTCTGAGGATATAATTCGCCCACAATTAATAACAAGAAGAAATAACATATTCACAATATGTCGCTGCCTTTGAGTTTAAAGGGTACAACAGGTACAGTGCGTACACACTTCCAAAAAATAGAACTACAATATAACAATATTATTATTATTTGAGAATCTGTACATGCAACTTACTGGTTCTAAAATTCTGTTAAATTTACCAAACCTTTCAATAACCCAAGCCTCTTGTTGAGGAACAAATTTTATCACCTAAAATAAAAGATATTAGTTTAAAAATTGATTCTTTTCCAACAGGTAATTTTTCTATCAGGTAAATGATACAGTTACTTACCAGGTACCAGGTACATGCATTTAAAAGGCATAATTTTATTTATAGCATGATTTAATAACAGGTTAACCAGGTGTTAATTTATTCAAAGAGACAGTGGGGAGAGGGGTGTTGGCATGTGTAAAAAATGTACACTGTTTCGGGCATTTCCCCACCTCTCTTCTCAAAATGAAAAAAAAAAAGACTTATCACAGATTTATACTGATTTATTAAACCCGAGAGGAATTTTTAACTTAGAACAAGTCTATATGATTGTACTTGCTACTTACTGTATTAACAGGTAACTGTTTTCTCTTTGTCCTGCTATAGCCATATGCCATTGTTCTGGCAGCAAACCTTGTTGGCTGAAAAACCTGCAATTTAATTCAGCAACAGCTGAGTCAGCTTTTTCTGCAATGGTAACCCTTGGTACTTCCTGTAATGGTCAGTCTTACAGAGGTGTCCATGGTATAGACAGTCAAAGAAAATGACTGAAAAATGACTGGGACCAACTAATTAAAGTAGGTATCTGTTATAGGGAGGTGTCCAATAAGAGTGAGTTGACTCAGTTTACCAGTATAAATGAACCCACGCAAGAGGCTGGGATAGCACAAGGAAAGCTTACGAAGCAAACTAAAGAAAGCAAGTGTTTTTGATGCTACAATCATAGAATTTCGCTTTCATGGGAAAGACACATACATGTATATGCTATATGTGACTTGAATGCTCAGGTTTATATATGGTTCACTAGACCCTAATGTCCTGTCTTCAAGAGTGGCCAATAGTACTGGGCTCTGAACCCTGTCACTTCCAAAAGTAGCCAAAGTCAAAGTGCAACAAAATTCCAATTTCACTTGGTAAAATGCTAAAAAATAATAAATAGGACGACCTTATAAGACTCCATCATGATAATTAAGTGGTCTTAATTCTGGAAGTAAATGGATTAAACCAATTGTTTGATATATTTGCAAAATACGATGGTGACAGTACTCTCTTGGCCCTAGAAAGTGAGACAAGTGAGAACCAGGCTTAGATCAGTGTAAGGAGGAAGTCATAAAGGAGCCTCTCACAGGCATTGCATATTTGCATCACAGATTACACTTACCGGACAAGGAGAGCTGCCCAGTCTCGTTAAGATCCTCGAGCTAAGCATTATGAAATCGACTGCAGATTTTGTTGTTATTTACTGACATAAAACAGCTGTAATATTCTCTGCTTGTTGCATAAACCAGCCGGAAATGAGCACGTGTTATAAAATTGTCAGCGTGCATGCCTCATTAAAGTATGCGCAGCTAATCTCTTTTACAAACCGCTGATAATAACCCTTTTTTATCGCTGGCTTTCTTTCGTTCCAGGCCCCTTCGGACAAATCCAACATGGCGGTGGTTGGAAATGCACGTGTGTGAAAGTTTGTCGTGTTTATCTTGTTGTTACAATTATTAGAATTCATAAAACGACAGCATGTCTTCAGAAAATATCCTCTCACATTTCTGGGACCTTGCATCTACTGACGAAAGAAAACGATTGAAAGCAGCTTCGCAGCTTTTATGTGCTTTAGATCAAGCTCAAAAACGACACAAGACAGAGGACGAGGTATGTTGTTAGCAGCGTGCAGTCATTTTTGCAAAGAAAGCGTGCTCTTAGATTCGTTTGATTAGTAAATTTTGAGTGTGGTGTACTTTATTTTATTCCTTCTGAGCAGAGTGCGCGCTGAGCTCGTCCTTATAAAAGCCGCGTGCAAACGGACGCAACATTGTTGGATGTTACATTTTGCGTCCGTTTGCACACCCTGTTGCATGTTGTTGCGTGTTGTTGAGTTGTCGTTGTTGGGAGTTGTTGTGTCCGTTTGCACATAGCTTTAAAAGGTCTTATTTCAGTTTTATAGAACCCTGTTAAAAGTGCTTCGGTCAAAAATACGCTCAGCTGTTTCTTCATATATCCATGTCCTTCCTTAGAGGTAGGGTTTTAAATCCCAGGGGGCACCTCTTTGTACTCAAACTTGTGTAAAGTACATGCATTCCTCTGGCCCTTGTTATCCAGATGGTGGATGCAATAACCCTATTCAGTGAATAAATATCTATCGGACAAGTATTAGGGAAAGTAATGGCTTTCTTTACTGAATAGTGATTTATACACTAGGTAGGATAACCCAGTTTTGGAATGTCCAGGGCCTGAACTCTTGTGCAAGGATTTTTATAATTGTGCATGTGTTGACAGTGATGATAATATTATAGTATGCACCACAAGGCTACATATACTTGCGATTACCTGGGGCTTATAATAATAAGAAAAAAAATTCTCTTCAGCTAACACAAATTTTTACAATTTTATCAGAAGACTGGAGATAGCGAGGAAGATGATGAGAATGATGATGACATTTCCTGTTGTGATGAGTTAAAATACAGTGTGAAACGCCTCGTAAAAGGTTTAGCATCTACCAGGAAAGGAGCAAGACAAGGATTTGCAACTGTGCTGACAGAGATTCTCTCTGAATTTGCTTGCCTATCTCCTGAAAAAGTTCTCAAATTAATTGCCAAGAATCTAGAAGTCACTGGCAGTGCAAAATCATGGGTAAGGCATTGGTCATACAGGGCTTCTGATATTTCGTGGAAAAAAAAGCAAAATTTCGCGGGATTTTCAGGGGCAAATTCGCGGAAAAATCGGTGGATTTTACGGGATTTTCGCGGGAGAAAAGTCAAAATTCGCAGAAAAATTGGTGGATTTCGCGGGATTTAAGCGGAAAAAAGACAAATTTCGAAGGATTTTCAGGGGCAAATTCTCAGAAAAATCGGCTGATTTCACGGGAAATTTCGGGGGGAAACTTCGCCAAGAAACAATCAGTAAAAAACCCAGCCGATTTCGCTGGATTTTTTTTGCCAAATTTCACTAAAATCGATCAATTTTGCGTGGATATGACCAGCGTTGTTGAATGTCTGTTACAACAGGGATAATCATTTGCTCTTTCAACAACAATTTGCTCGAGAAATGAGCAAATGTTAAAGCTATTAACATTATGGTTAGTGCCCAGTTTTTCACAACGTTCATCTAAAAATGCCTGGTAGTTTTGGGACGTTGTTTACTCCTTGCAGTGACGAAGTTTCAAGATAAATTTGGACGTTTGGGGTGAATAAAACAGGTCTAATAGCCAAGATTTCTGGCAGATTTCGCGGTATTTTGCGTTTTTTTGGGAATTTCGCGGGATTTCGCGGAAATACGTCAATTTCGCGGGTCCGTGACCGCGCGAAATATCAGAAGCCCTGGTCATATCATATAACAAAGAGGGAGTTCTAAGTAGATGAAAAATAAAGTTTTACTTTTTAATTCTGTGAACTGTATCTGGTTAAGAAAAATAAATTATATTTGTGTACATTCTGAATTAATCGAGATCAGTACAATTTACCTGTAGCTATCAACATCTCTGTATATAATCTACATATACACTGTATGTGTATTAAATTCACTACTATGCACTTTGTGGTTACATGTAGTAATAGCTTTTTATACTGGCATCTCATTCTTGGGAATTGACTTTGAAAACTTTTAGTTACTCCAATTCCCAACAATTTCTGTTTTGTTACATATAACTTACACGTAATGTAATGAGTAAAGTAAATACTAATGTGTATTGTTTTCTTTTCTCTTTGAAAAGTGAAATAAGTTTGAGTTCATTTATGGTGAAACTCACAAAACCGTGAACACCAGAAAATTATACAGATTTATGGAATGTTATTGTGTTGCAAGAAATAAGCCAATAAGGCGCGAGATAAGTAAACCGCAAACAGCAATGGCAATTAGTTTGTGGTTTAGAGGTTTGCTTGCGTATCCTAGCTGAGCTTTATTGTGATTGGCCAGTACACAATCAACATTCCTGAAATTTTTCAGGTGTTCACGGTTTTGTGAGTTTGACAATAATATAAATAATTTGTTTCACTTTGTTGTTTCCCTAAAAAAACATCCTGTTGTGTGTTTGATATTAATAGCATCTCAAGCTACATGTAATTTACCTGTGAGATTACAATGTATATTGGTAATGCATATAATTTTTTATTGTTGCAGGAAGAGCGAGACAGTTTCATTGGACAAGTGTTTGGCTTGGTGTCTGTTTTAAGATCACAATTCAAGGAGGAAAAAATAACTGTAAGGCTTGACATTGGATCTCAACTTTTCCATCTGTTATAGATTATGTAACAATAATGATAAGCTCTTCATTCTGTGATGTATTTACCGTAAATCTGTGCCCCTTTATTTCATTGAAGCCAGCTTTACTGATTTTTCAGATTCTAAATTCATGAATGAATAATTTCATATAATTGTATGTTATTATTATTATCATTGTGTATGGGTTGGTTTATGAGAACAAGACGTTTTATCATTCTGACAAATGAGCCTGTATACAACATTCCTTGTAATTTGTACATATGTGTTTATTTGTGGACATATTTAATTATTATCAATCACTTTTTTCAATATTAAGAGAAAAAATGTGCTTTTTATAGTCCAGTGATACAGCATGGCTTAGTTTGTTGATTGCAAGAGTCAGAGAGCTGAGCAAGAAAAAGACTTATTTACAGGAGCTTTGTACAAAGGTCATTGTGGACATTTTTGAAGTGGTAAGTTAAATGATGTTACATCATCTAGTCCTTGCCTGGTTTTTGTTGCTACCCAAAAATATTCAGAAGCAANATATTAAGAGAAAAAATGTGCTTTTTATAGTCCAGTGATACAGCATGGCTTAGTTTGTTGATTGCAAGAGTCAGAGAGCTGAGCAAGAAAAAGACTTATTTACAGGAGCTTTGTACAAAGGTCATTGTGGACATTTTTGAAGTGGTAAGTTAAATGATGTTACATCATCTAGTCCTTGCCTGGTTTTTGTTGCTACCCAAAAATATTCAGAAGCAAACATGGCAGATTGAGGAGATTTAGGGATCAGGCAGTGGGTCTGAGAGGTCTACAGGTTGCTGACTAGTTATTTAGGGGTCACAAATTCAAATCCTCAGGGTGTTCTCTGTTGTCCAAGTTCAAATCCTTGGCTGTGCTTGCAGGTACATGCTGTACTCTAGCTAACTGTTTCATTTCCCACCAGTTGGATTCTTAACCTTGTTCACAATTCCATTTTAATCAAATTTTGTTGCATTTTATATCCCTGAAAAGCCCCATGAGAAAAGAGGAGACATGTAATCGATTTTTGATTATCATTATTAATGTTTTTCTTCTTTCGCAGTTCGTACTGTCTAGAGCTCCCATAAGAGACCACTCTGGTGATTTTTTTCCAATGTATTTTCCCAGGCCCTTTTATCTAGGCTAAGTACTCCAATAACTACAGGCACATGCAGTTTTTATTATTATATATTATTATTATTACATCTATATTACTGGAAGAACCTTGCAGTTTATCAGAAATCACTTGGCACCGTACAATTTTTTCATGTTTCTTTAAAAATGTCAATAAGATTGTTTTTCTTTGTTTGCAGGTATCCACTGATGTGTTTGTAAACTGTGTGTATCCATCTGTCAAGGAGATTATAGAGGGTGGATGGGCACAAGCCACACCCGAAACATTTCTTATCTCTCTTGCACTTCAGAGATGTTGGGGGGTGTGTATATGTGATGGTTCAATTTTGTTCTTGGTCTATTTGTTATTTTTCCTTTGTTTTTTTCATGGTTTCAATGATAATAAGGATTGTATTAAAGTTAATATACAATACATGTATTTTATACAAAGTTGTGTACTGAAAAACACCAACTGGTCATTTCCTTGAGAATGCCTTTATATCTTCTCAAGCTAATTAATAGTTCATAAAGACAATACAAAAAAAATAATGTTGAATGAGGTTAATTGGAAATCAGATGAAAAATTGCTCATTTTGCATCCTTAATTTCTCCTTCTTAAATCTGCCATTTTGTTTGAGAAGTAATATCATTATCAAGCATTTGACACAGTATTTCATCACCTGATGAAACACCTTGAAGTTCTTCAAAAATACTCTGCTACTCTTTGAACTAAACTACATGTGCTGTCAGCATATTTTGTAAAAGCTGATGTTTTGGAATTCAAAATGGTACGGCTAATATAATACCCTTAGACTGTACGTGTGAAATTTCTTTTGAAGACTTGAGTCTTATTAAGAATTGTCTGCCTACAAAATAGAAAAATCATGTATTCATTGTCTTTCCCCACTAGGATCATCTTGAAAGGAAATTAATAAAAAGTTCCTGGAAATGTTCTTACGTTGCTGACAAGAAAAAT